CTTCTCTGACATCTGCCCTTGCATAAGGTGTAGACAGTGCCCCCCAGGGGCCTCCTTAGGTCCTAGGTTCTGGATCACACTGGCAGTAGAGGGGAAAGAAATGTCATATAGAGGTGGGGGCTGAGGGAGCCCAGGGAGGCAGGAGGGGCCGTAGCCCTTCTTTTCACCTTTCCATTTAGGGTGCCCACATAAAGCTCACCCCCTTTCTCACACACAACCCCCTTCCTTTTTTAAAATTAATTTTTCCTTTGTCTAAAGGACACCCTAGGGCTCCCACCCTCAAGAACCCCAAATGCAAAGCCTATGTCAAGTATAGAATCTAAACCCAAGTTTTATTTTTATGAAGATGACTGCCTGTTCTCTATTTTCTGAGCTGCTATTAGGCCAAAAGAAAGAAAGAAAGGAAAGGAAAGGAAAGGAAAGGAAAGGAAAGGAAAGGAAGGAAAGGAAAGGAAAGGAAAAGGAAAGGAAAGGAAAGGAAAGGAAAGGAGGAAAGGAAAGGAGGAAGGAAGGAAGGAAGGAAGGAAGGAAGAAAGAAAGAAGGAAGGAAAGAAAAGAAAAAAAGGAAAAAAAAATGAAGTCAAAAGTAAGATGGGACTGTTTGTAACCATTTTTTTAACCATTCATTCAGTCATTCATTTATTTACCTTTAAGCCTATAAAGGTGTTTCCCCCTAAAGGCAGACAGTGAATATTTTATTTTAATCGTGTAGTTTCCATCGAGACAGACCTTTAACCCTTCATTCTCCAGCTCAGCCCGAGTCCCCCGTGCCAGGCAATCCTCCGAACGAGGGCTGGGACTGTATTAAGTCTCCCTCTTGGAGCTGTTTGTTGACCACATTCACGTTCAGAGCCCTGGAGCTAAAAGCACTTTACACCATAAAATAAAAGCACTGTCTTTTTTTCTAAAAGGTTACGTCTGGAGGCCACGCGGCTCATACTTCATACCGAAAACTACTGAAAGGACTATGAAATCCTCTATGATTTACACTCTCTCACTGCATTAGGGTATAGATCTACTCGACTCTAAAAATACGGTGGGTTTCTAACCGACGTGAATATATGTGCATTATTTCAGAAAGTCTGTTAGAAAACTTGTCAACACATTATAAAGCATAAACCAGGACTTGGCTATTAAGTACGGAGATCAGAGGGAGAATATATACTGCAGGAAGTCCTGGGGAGTCTCCTCCGCGGGCAGGATAAAAAGGGGGAGGAGGGGAGAGGAGGGGGTCGTCTGTTGGCCTGGAGTTTACATTCAGTGTCGTCACCAAAGATTTGGGGAAGAGCCCACGGAGCGTAATTAGCAAAGGTTCCACAGCTCCAGATGAAGGGGACTGAACGGCCAGAAAATAATTTTAACGTTGTCATAAATTATTACTTTGTAAAAGCCACTTTGGGAAAGGTAAATATACTTATTGTGTATCCAAGTGTTCGCGTTTAAGGTGACCTTTCACCCCTCTACAAAAGCACCTGCATCATTAATCAATACTTATGTAATATTTTTAAACCTCTTAAAACAACACGTTTTTCTTTCTTTAAACACACATACAAGCCCTCCTCCCCCTCCCTCCCCCCCCCCCCCACTTTTAAGCGCTTTAGCGAGTCTCCAGCAGCAATGAGAGAGGGGACGTCACTCTCAGGGGTGAGCACGAGGGACCGGCAGTGGGGGTCCGCGATGAGGAGGGATCAAGTGCCAATACACAGCCCAGGGTTTGTGGACTGGGTGAAATCAGGCTGGGGGAGGGGCAGGAGCGGAGGGCAGTTCCTATTTCACTCTGGGCATTTTATGGTGGTGAAATTAAATATATGTTAATGGTGGAAACGTCGCTGCTTACCTCTCCATTGGCACGCAGGGAAGGCAGCTGCAAAACTGGGTTTTTAATGTATGTTTTAAGATGTGGTTTCGGAAGGAACCCCCTGGAATCTGAAACAAGTGCAATAACGTGGCAGACCTACTTGTAACTAAGTGCTTAATTTCCTATGATTTTTTTTTTAAAAAGAAAATCAATAAAATGTTGCCAGTTATTTATTGGAAATAACCACAGATAGCGGCCCTGATAGGGTGCCGGTTTTAGAGAGCACACAATTGTGTAATGAATTGTAATTCAGAGGACTGTTAAATGTGAACCACAGAACCTTTCAGAGGTAATAAAGTCATTACTTTTTACACTACAGCCAACCCTGAAAAGCTTTATACACACCATTATATATAAATCATACATATATATTTCCACAACACACATTCGCCCATTTATATACCTTCTCTGTATATGGGCTTTTATGGATGGATGGGGGAAATACTTAAATTTGAAAAACTCGGTTCCGAAAGAATCTGACTCACTATTGTTACCTGAAGAGGCTTTTATTTAATTTATTTATTTTTCAAAGACCTCCCAGTTGCACTTTCTTCTTCCCTCTCCTCGCCTCCCCTCCAACCATTCTTCTGCACGCAGCCCCCCTCCCGCGCAATGACACTCTTTCTGGTCGCTCTAACGCTAGTTTAAAGAGACAAAAAAAAAAGAAGAGGAGGAGGAGGGGGAAGAAGAAGAGCAAGGAGAAGGAGGAGGAGGAAGAAGAGAAGACAGTCGTGGGAGATGCCGACCTGCTCTGAAGAACTCATGAAAAAAGGGGAAATGGTGCAACGCACACACTACATACAGGAGCTTCCTTTCCTGCGAGTGAATCTTCCTGCTTCTTAAACAGGATTTGAGCGTCGTCCCCCACCCCCCACCCACCCCCAAAACTGGAGAGAAACAATAACAACAAAACACATTTACGCGAACCCAGTTCAGCACACATCTCTCCTAGTGTGGAGCATCACCACCTCCCTTGCTTCCTCCGTGGGGCCCGAAGCTTCGCCGAGCCAGGCAAGCCAGGCGTTTTCTAATAGGTCTGAAACTTTCCCAAGACAACACGAGAATAAACAGCGGCTCGCGGGCGCGGCGGGGAGGTGGGCGCGCGCCGGCCAACCGGGGCGGGGGCGGGGGCGGGGGCGGGGCGGGGGGCTTGGCCTCGAGCCCTGAGGTCCCCGGCCGGGTGGGTGCATCCCGGAGACGCCGCGCCTCCGACCGAGGAGGGGGAGAGCGGGGACGCGAGGGGCCGTGGAGCCGCCGGCAGGGGAGGTAAGGCAGGCAGGCTCCGCGGCCGGCAGACCCTCGCACACGTCCACCTGCAGCTCCGAGCGTCGCGGGCCGCTGCGCCCCGCGCGCCCCCGCGCAGCCCCGCGCCGGAGTCCGTCCGTCTCCCTCCCCCTGCCCTTCCCGCCCGGGCATCGCGGCGCGGTCTCGGCGGCGGCGGCGGCGGCGGCGGCGGCGGCGGCTGCGGGGCGGCGCAGGCGGGCGGGGAGGCTGGGAGGCGGGAGACGCCGGGGGACTTTGCAGACACGTTTCAGAATAAACTTTCCAATCGCAGGGGGTGCTGTTGCTGTACATTTTACGTAAAACTGAAAGTATCCCACGCCAGAGCGAAGCCCGCTTTTTGACAGCGGCAGCACGCGCGCGCGCGCCCCCGAGCAAGAGCGCGCGCGCGCGCGTGTGTGTGTGTGTGTGTGTGTGTGTGTGTGTGCGTGTGCGCGCGCGAGCGCGTGTGTGCATTAAAGAGACAGGGGTTTATTTCCAACAGGTCTTCCTTAATTTCCCGGGAAGGTGTGAGTGAGGAAGGCCGGAGGGGCCCGCGTGCTCCGGGGGCGGGGGGGGGGCGCACCTCGGCTGCAGGCGCCCGAGCAGCGCGGCGCTGACCCGGGGCGGTCACCCCGCCACCGCGGTCTCCCCGCTGCTCCCGCGAGCCTGTCGCGCTCGCACCGTATTCCCCATTTTCTCTCCCCGGGTTACAGCCCGGGAATAGTTGCGCCCCGCCTGTAAGGAACATTTGGCTTCCCATTCCCCGGCGCTCCAGCAGCGGCTCCGGGCGGGAGGGGGTGTGTCCGTCCCGGGGACCCGGCCGGAGGACCTCCCGCGGCGCCGGGAGCACGTTCCTAGGGACGGCAACTCCCTCCCGGGGCTGCGCGTGCTTTGTCCTCCGGCCCGCGGCCTCGGCGCCTTCCCCGCCCCGGGCCCCGGCGCTCCCCTCCGGGGGCTACAACGGGCCCCGCGGCGGGCTCCTCGGTCTTTAGTCCTTGGCCTCCCTCGCCGCGACCCTTGGGAGCCTCGGGTGCGTGCTTCCAGTTCCATTCGGACCCAATCGCTCGTCAGGGCGCTCAGATCCCAGCTGCCCGGCGCCCCCCCCCCCGCAGCCCCCCGGCCTCCCCCCTCCGCCCCCGGGCTCGGCCTCGGGGGTGCCCTCCCGCCCTGGCCTGCGCCGTCTCCCTCGCCCTTGCACCCTGCCTGGCCGGGCACCCAGAGGCCCCGGGGCTGCCTTTCCGGACCCGCAACCCTCTAAACTTGGGCTGCACTCGGTTTTGCCGCGCGCGTGCTCCCGCCTCCCCGCGCCCGCTGCGGAGCTGCAACTTGGAGGCTCAGCTCTCAACTTCGGGTGATTTTTCTTTGCCAGCCTCTCCGCAGGCAAAGTTTCCCGAGCGCAGCCCGGGGCTCGGGGCTCCCACCGCGGCCCCGGGCGTCCGCACGCGGGGAGCGAGCGCGGCGGAGAGGGGAAGTGGGTGTGCGCCCGGAGGAGGGTGTCCGGGAGTAACTCCACCTGGCTTCCCTCCGCCCGCGCTCCCCGGGACCCGGGCTGCAGCCTCGCCGTACACTCTTGCCTTTTTTTTTTTTTTTTTTTTTTTAAGTAATCTTTCATTTTAGGATCCGTGTCCGGGTGGGGGGGGTGAGCAGAGAGCACGTCTTGCCCCCCCCCACCCCCGCCGCCCCTTTCTTCTCTCCCGGCCACGCTGCCGCCACGGCGCTGGCTGCGGCCACTGGTGAGCCCGCGGCCCCGGCGCCCCCTCCCCTCCCCCCGCCCCTCCCCCGGGGGCCGCGTCTGGCGTCTGCGGAGCCCCCCGCCCCGCACCTCCCCCGCCCCGCACTGGCCATTGGCTTGTCCTGGTCTCTTTTTCATGTCCAGCCCCTGATGTGTGTCCATTGGTGTGAGCTTCCCCTTCCCTCCTCCCCTTCTCTCCTGCTCGCCCTGCCCATGTTTTGTGTGTCTCTGTCCATCCAGACTCCTGACGTTCAAGTTCGCAGGGACGTCACGTCCGCACTTGAACTTGCAGCTCAGGGGGGCTTTTGCCATTTTTTTCATCTCTCTCTCTCTCTCTCTCTCTCTCTCCCTCTATCTCTCTCCTCTCTCTCTCTCTCTCTCTTTTTTTTTTTTTGCTTAAAAAAAAAAAAAAGCCATGACGGCTCTCCCACAATTCATCTTCCCTGCGCCATCTTTGTATTATTTCTAATTTATTTTGGATGTCAAAAGGCACTGATGAAGATATTTTCTCTGGAGTCTCCTTCTTTCTAACCCGGCTCTCCCGATGTGAACCGAGCCGTCGTCCGCCCGCCGCCGCCGCCGCCGCCGCCGCCGCCCGCCCCGCAGCCCACCATGTCTCGCCGCAAGCAAGGCAAACCCCAGCACTTAAGCAAACGGGAATTCTCGCGTAAGTAACCCAATAATAGTAATAATAATTATTAATAATCACGAGAGCGCGCAGGACGAGAAGTAAGAGCGAGGGGGAGAGAGGGGTGTGTGCATGCATTTTTTAATTTTTTCACGAGACGAACCTCCGAGAGTCGGGATAAAAGAGCTTAAAGGGAGGAGAAGAAAAAAAAAAAAACAAAACCCCAAACAAACAAAAAACAAACCTCATCCTATCCCGAACCGCAGCCGTAGATACACTTTTGGGATAGCACGCACCTTTTAATTTTTATTTAATTTACAAAAAATGTGACTCCTCCTCTTTCATGCTCTCCGCCGCTTTATTTCGCTTTTCGAAAAGGAATGCAATGATTTCCCCTCCAATTTTGCAAAATAATGAACAATGCTTTGGATGCGAACAACTCTCGGGCAAACCTAGAGGAGGGAGCTGGAGGGGTGGGGGGGGTGGGGGGAAAGGGGGTTGCTTCCACTCACCGAAGGAAGGAAAACGGGGCGGGAGGAGGGAGCCCAAGCCAAAAAAACAATTCCCTGGGAGAAAAGAGGTGAGACTGGCCCTCGGACAGCAGCGCGCTCACGGTCAAGTGTGCACCAGGAGGAAAGTAGTCATCTCCACAATAGTGAGAAAGTGGGATTGTGGGAGGGGGCCCCCCGGCGCTCGGGAGCCTGCCGAGTGTGGAGAGGGGCCGCGGCGGCCGGGGGAGCCTGGAGACCGGGAAGCACGGGAGGCTCGGCCGCCGCTGCCGCCTTTTGTTCCGGCCCGAGGTGGGTGTTTGTCCCGCTGCCTTTTGTGCCGGCTCCTCGCGCCTGCCCTTCCGCGCCGCCGCCGCCGCAGGGCAGGAGCAAGGGCCCCGGGCGAGCGGGAGACGGAGGGAGGGCGCTCGGGCCGCCGCCGCCTGGCTTCCCGCTGCCCGCCCCTCCCGGCCGAACCTCCGCGGCGGCGAAGAGATGTGAAAAATAAAATAAAAATAAAAACCAAAAATAAAACGAGGCAAGAGGACGTACAATTTCTTGCCCCCCAACAGAAGCCCCAAACGCTCGGCCGGCCGTTTTCTGCAACGCTCTCCTCTTGGACTCCCCCACCCCACCCCACCCCACCCCCCCCTGCAAAAATCTCCATCTCTATTAGAGGGGGAAAAATACAATTACCCCCTTCCCCAAAACCCCTTCAGTTGCAAACTTAGAGCGCCGGCGGCGTGGAGAGGGAGCGAGGAACTCCCTCCTCTTACTATTTTTTGGAAGATTTTCAAAAAAAGTGGAAGTGGATTTTGATTGGGAAAAATCTCGTGTCTGAATGTTTACAAGCACCGCGTGTGCGGGAGCCTCCTGCCAACAAACAGACAGAGGACCGAGCGCGGCGCGGCAGCCCGGGAGCGGGCGGCGGCGGTGGCCGGGCCTCGCCCGGGCCTCGCCGGGCCTCGCCGCGCCCCCGCCCTGCTCGGGATCGCCCACCCCGCGCCAGCCGCCCGCCCGCCCGCACAGCGACAGGCCGTGCCGCGACTCCGCGCCAGCCGGGTCCACGGTCCTCTCTCGCCCCCAGCACAATGCCCAGACCTCCTCCCAGCCCACCAGACCGGGAACTCGGCGGGGGAGAAACTCGGCTTTGCGAAGCATTTTTATTTTTTCAAAGCAGCTGAAAAAGCGCGTCTGCAGCCCCCTCCCCCGCCCCCCGAGGTTCTTGCCCTCAGCTCCGGACGGCGGGGAGGTCACCACGTGCTTTCTCTGCCCCCCTCCCACCAGGTCTGGCCAACCAGCCCCCCACCCCCACCCCCGCCTCCCGATCGCTGCCAGGCCAGGTGTGTGTGTGCAGGGAGGTGGGGGGGGGGCGCGGTGAGCCGGTTTTGGGGGGGGGGGATTTGGGGAGGTGGGCACAGTAGTATGTGCAAGTGTGTGTTTTGGGAGTGCTGGATCCCCGGACTCCGTGCACCCCACTCTGAGTTCCTGCCCTCTAACCGGGGCCTGTCTCGGTCAGAGCTGGGGTGGGGGGGGGGCGGCGGTCCTTTTGAGTCTTTATGGGGTTGGTGGACGGGTTACTGCGTCCTGGCTAGCAGAGTGCGTCTGGGAAGGCGGGCGGTGGGCACTTCGGAAAGTTTGGCAGCGGGGCAGAGAAAGGCTTGAGAGGGCCCACATCCCTTCCCCTCCTCATTCGTGCCCCTTGTTTTAATTTTCGATGCAATTTAAAAACACCACCTATACCCAGTGTTGTATTTATTAAAGGGTTGACGCGGGGGGGGGGTGCTGTTGCGCGTAGGGAGCTGGATTTTTCACTAGGCCCTGGAACTTGTCACACACTTCGGAAGCTCCCCCGCCCCGGCACGTTGCGGGGCCCTCCCTCTCCCCACCCCCGCGCATCCCTCCCTCGTCGCTCTCCCCCGCCCCCCACTCCCCCGGCCGCGCCGGATGCGGAGCAGACGCGGCGCGCGGCGGTGTGAAGTTACAGCCCGGCCAGGTACCGGCGGGAAGGAAGGGCAGTTCGCAGGACTCGGGAAAGCCGGGCCCTTCTTCGGAAGGATGCACTGGGGGCGCAAAGGACGAACGCAGGCGTGCAGTCCGGGCTGCTCCCCTGTCCCCCCACCCCCCGCCCCGGGTCCATCTCGGGACCCTCCAAGCTGGGTGGGTTCAGCCGCCCTCCAGCCCCGTCTCAGCGCGGCCTGTGGGGTCAGGGACCAGTCCGGAGGGGGGCGCGGGGGCCGCTGCTTTCTCATTTTCTGGGTGCGCAGAGGGGGCGGGAGCCATTCCGGTCTTCAGGACCCCCCCTCCCCCCCAGTCCACCGCTCCTCGGGCTGAGTGAGCCATTCGGTCGCTAGGAGGCAGAACAAGATCAAGAAAGCTCAGCGAACTTGAACCTGTACCAGAGCCTCCCCCACTCCCAGCTCCGCGTTTCTCGGCCGGGAGGGACGAGCTTTGCGAGGGTGGGGGTGGGGGAAACGGACGGTTAGACTGAATTCCCTTTTCTCCCCCCCCCCCATCACCCCTTATGTCTTTGTTCTTCATTTTGACTTTAAAAATGCTTCTGGCCGGGGCTGCGGAGAAGCGCTGGGGAGCGCGGCCGGCACCCCGGTGCGCCGGGCGCGGAGTGGGGTGCAGTTTTCGCTTTCTTTCGGGGCGGGCATTTTTGGGGGTAGGGGGAAGAGGGGAGGACGCGCTCCCCGCCTTCGAGGCCAGGCCGAAGGGCGGGATCCAGCAAGTTTGCACCGAGTCTCCGGGTTCACTTCTTCTAACCCCCGCACCCCCCGCGCAAAGCACGGACAACGGCGGCTCCGGCGGGCTGGCTCGGCGGCTCTGCAGCGGGCTCCCCGGCCCCCCGCCCCCCGCGGCTCTCGCCTCGGAGCCCGAAATCGCAACAATAGTCATAGTTATCATCATAATGATGCGGGCCAGCAGCATCATTAATAATGAATAAACCGCAGCCGCCGCCACCGCCGCCGCCGCCGCGCTGCGCACACTGGTGCCCGGAATTGCGGGAGAAATTGCGTTTGCAGAGATTTCCCCCCACCCCCGCCCGCCCGCCCCACAAAGTAAAAAAGTGTGAGCCTGGGGGCCCCAGAATGAATTTCAGGGTCCGCGCTTTGAGGCGTGTGCGGTGGTTCCGAGACTGCACCGGGTCAGACCGGCCGAGTTTTCCGAGCCTCGCTCCCCCTTTCTCCAGCTGGCGGGGCCCGGGAACGGCGGTCACCCCGAGGCCCGGCCGCGCGGCGGCGGAGGCGGCAGCAGGGGCCCCTGGCTGCCCGTCGCCTCCCGGCCTGGCCCGGGCCCCGCGGCCCGGCAGCCGCCGCTGCACGTGTTTGCAGCGAGCGCGGCCGCAGGCTGCAGCCAGCAAGCTGCTTGCTTTGTGCCTCCGAGTCCCGGCGCCCAACTTCACTTTCTGCAGAGCCCGCCCCCGCCGGGCCCCCTGCCCCGGGCCTGTCGCCCTGGCCTCCGCTTTTGTTTCTTTGCTTTTCCTCAACGCATTTCAGACTCGGTTTGCTTCCTTACCCTGTTAAGACAATCAAAAGGAAGGACTTGGAAAGCAAACTTGAAGGCATAGCTCCTTCCCCCTCCCCCTCCCCCAGCAGCCCTCGTTTCCCTCGCTTCTTCCCTACATTTCTTATAAAGCTTTTTTTTCCCCCCTTCTTTAAATGTATTCCTTTGCAACTGCAGAGAGGAAGGAGAGCTCAGTCAGCCGCTGGGGCATTGAGACGTTCCAGTCTGTGTTGCTGTTTCAACGCAGAAGCATTTTATTTTCTATTTCTTTCAATCCTTGTGGAGAATTCGCGGCTAATTATTATGATTATTTGCCCACTCCCTTCCACTTCAGTCCTGGACTCCCCGCTTTGTAGCGGGAGGTTTAGGCCGGAGCTTAGAAACGGTGGTATTGTGGGGGCGAAGGAGGATGGAGTTGAATTGAGGGAGGGGGTAAAATGGCTGAGGTTAGGAATGTTTTTAGGGAAAGAGGAATTTGCATTAAAATACAGAGAAATTATCAGATGCCCAGAAAGGAAATGTTGATTACCACTGAGAAAAGATGTCAATGCAAATCAGTAGACTACACCAAGAGAATTGTATTTTCATATTTTCTTTGTGCCCCACTTCGTCTCATTTTTAATAGCATAGCAGCAATAATAAGAACACGTTTTGGTATTTCTCTGAACATTACTGGCCAAATGTTTTGCAAGAAGCCCGATGTTAGACGTATTTCATACATTAGGATATAATTCTTGTTAATTAGCAATAATTTACGTTAAGAGCATAGAAAATGTTGAGGTTACAGGTTTTATATCTGTACATTTGATCATCTTGTTATTTTCAAGAACTTTGCCTCCTATAAAATTAATTAGGTGAAATGTGGAGGTGTAATCAGCAACCTCTGAATTACCACTTCATTTCCTGGTTTTGATTGTAAATCAGTTCAGTCACTACATTTAGAAGACTTTAACCAAGTCTGTTTGCACCGCATTACCTTTAACTATTTGATACCTAGGAGAATATTTCCTTTTGCTCCTAAATAATATTTCCGCTTTCAGAAATATGTCAGGCCTTGGGGATAAAAAACAAAAAAACAGATCTTAACGGTGGAGTTTAAAAAATGTGTTTTTTTTTTTTTTTGCAAAGGTTCTCCGTAATACTAACTTCAATAAAACAAAATATTATCTCTGAGTCTTTCTTTAATCTGTAAACCTCAGAACTTGTAGTTAATGCTGAACAGCAACCAAAAAAAGCCATTATTTGTCAATGTGTACTTAAAAATCCTTAATTCAAATAGCAGGGATCTTGGAGATGACTTCCCTATTCGGTTCCTCACTTGGCCAAAATGAAAGCAAATGTAGGAGAAAATTGACATAGAGGCATAATGCAAAAGCACTTCCGTTTATCTCCTTTTATTTGAAAAGCATGCATGTGTATTCTGTATTTATCTTTTGGTGGGTATGTTGGGCAAAGAAACACAAGTGCTTACCTTGCTGTCTTTATTAGTGGGAATATAACCTTCATATTCCTGTGGTGACCTTATGTTAAATTAGGAGGAGTACCAGAGGCTAGAAATTATGACATGTCCTACTTGAGCACAGGTGCAGCTAGGCAGGGCTCTCTCAATATTATTTCACCCAGCACATCTGGGAGTTACTCCAGATCTTCCCCCTCAATATTCAGCCTGGGTAGGGTTGAAATAAATTTAACCTGAGTTCACTGGATTTTTGCACTTTATCAAAATCGGTTCCAATATTCTACACTCAAATTAAAATCTATTTTTTGATTCTCTGTGGCTTTAAGTTCATTAAATGTGAAATTGGCAGCTTGCTAAAGAAGGTCAGACTGATTAACTGTTTAAGACTTGTACATTTTCTGCTTCAGTTTTATTAACTGGCAGCATCCTGGATGTGTTTTGTATTTTGTGATTTTTTTTGGGGGGGGTGGAGATAGAATCAGACTTCGGTTTCAGGAGCAGAGACTTACCAACTCTCTTTTCCCCTTTGGAAGGTTAAAAAATGATAGAAGCTGTTCAAATGAGATGCTGGAGTATTTTGGTGCAAAGTTAAAAAAAAAAAAGGAAACAGGAATGAAAGACATATCTACCTTGTTATACCATCCGCTGGTGATTATGTGTGTAGAAATAGTCCCATAATGAAGCGTTTTGGAGCTCATTCAGAAAATTAGTCAACTTTGACAACATTAGGCGAAGTATTTCAAGTCTGAAGAAAGGACTTCTCAGCCTTGTTCTGAAATGTGGCGTTTGCTTGACCATTCTGATTTTTATGTGATGGAGGCCACCAAGTGCAAACATGTTTAGAATATTTTAGGCATTCCTTTCTTCAGAATGAAAAAATGACTAATTGGCTTATTTTCTTAAGTACTCGAAAGTATCCCATTTAGCTAATGTGTCTGAGAAGAATTGCCAGTGAATTTGGTATTTCTCTGATTTTGTGGCACTGCTGAGAGTGAGATCAGAAAGGTTTTTGGCAGTATGAATTATGCTGCGTTATGATTATTATTTAGATCCGTTTTACAGGTGAATGCAGTCGTTTTCTTATTATGGCGGTGTAAATGTGGCACATTTTCTGTGTGATATAGTAGCTTTCTAATTTATGAAGCCATGTCTCTGTATACTTAGGAGTATATACATTCACACACAAAGGATGTGTGTGTTTATTCACCTCTCTTTTTGTTCGTTGACACAATATACAACTTCGTCTAGAGGAAAAAAAGAAATAAATTTGGTTTCAATCCATGTTTTTACCAGTTTGGGAGGGGGTAGTTATTATTGAAGCTTTCTTTATGTTCCCTGCTTTAACTATTTATTTATTTAACAGTCAACATTGTTTCTAAACTCGCAAACCAGACACAGTTTACAGTGTGCCTGTGTGTGTGTATGTGCGTGTGTGTGTGTGTGTGCGTGTGTGTGTGTGTGTTTTCTCAGGAGTTAGGCAAGTCAGATAGTTTTCTTTAAATATATGATGATTTGCCTCACTGATAAATTTGCTTTCTTGTTGATAACCTCCACATCCTTATGCGTTTTAGGTGCGCCTGTTTTCTGGATATTATATGAAGGAGACTAGAAACACTTTATATGTTATGGTGGGATGGGATGGGATGGGGTTGAGAATGTATTTCCCCCTTTTCTCTCTCTTGTCTGGCGCTCTAATAATTGTGCTTTTGTTTCTCCAACCACAGCCGAACCTCTTGAAGCCATTCTTACAGATGATGAACCAGACCACGGCCCTTTGGGAGCTCCAGAAGGGGACCATGACCTCCTCACGTGTGGGCAGTGCCAGATGAACTTCCCATTGGGGGACATTCTTATTTTTATCGAGCACAAACGGAAACAATGCAATGGCAGCCTCTGCTTAGAAAAAGCTGTGGATAAGCCACCTTCCCCTTCACCAATCGAGATGAAAAAAGCATCCAATCCCGTGGAGGTTGGCATCCAGGTCACGCCAGAGGATGACGATTGTTTATCAACGTCATCTAGAGGAATTTGCCCCAAACAGGAACACATAGCAGGTAAATGAGAAGCAAGGAGAAAAGCTGTTTGCATGTTTTCTTTTCATTTTCAGAGGTGCTGTAGCCAAGCACTAAGGAGTGGTGAAGTGCTTTCTGTATTTCTCCATGTGACTGTCCACGACAGCCCTGTAATGTTAAAATAATCATTCCTATTGCTTACGTCCAGAACACAACAAAATAAATATTTTCCACTTCACTGAGTCAGATGTAGGTGGTACACACACCTGATACCCTCTCTCTGGATCTCCTGATGCTGAATCTCTTTCCCTTTTTCTCTCCCCTTCTCATTTTTAAGTGTTGAACCATACCATACCTGGCCCAGTTTCCACTGTCCCTTTCCAGCCATGGTGACAAGTCAGAGGCAGAAGTGGCCATATAGCCATTTGCAAGTTTGGCCGATGACCTCTTTGTGTCAGAACACCTGGTCAGACCTCCCTAGGGGTACAGTTAGTTCTCAAGGCTTCCACGAAGTGGGGTGGGCTGGCAGGGCGTTGGGGAGTGGGTAGAAAGAGTTAACTGAGCTTCAGGGCTAGCCTTGGATCCATATTGGCTGTCAGCCCGTATGGGGCTGTAATTAAACACAGCCCCGTGGTGGGATGACACCGTGACCTTGACTTTAAGATGCCATTTTCGACTGGCCAGGCCAGAGTAGAGAGGGCAGTTGCTGAAGCGCACAGACATGCTTACTCGAAAAGTTTAAGGGCATGTTGGAAATTTCAAAAGGTTGGTTTGACAGGAACGGCTGCTCCCTGCAGCCTGCCTCCTCAGCTAAATGATAAATGCTTCTCTGTGCTCTCTCTTGTCTCTGATGTGGTTTTGACAGATGTATCTTGATTTTGTTTGTGGTTTACACAACCACATGTCACCCTTACAAATGTCCAGTCCAGACTTCCACTGTTTCTGCTATAACACAATGCAAAAATTCTCTTGGAAAAATACATACACATATTCAACAGCTCTCCTTCCTTTGGCGAATTTCAGCAGAGAGGTAGCTAGGTGTGTGGGTTTCTCACGGGGGAAAAGGAATTCACGGCTAACAGAGGGACTTAAATCCCTACTCTAAGTGGCAAACAGCAACCCTATATAGTGAGTGACCCTTAAAACATTTTTTTTGGGTGAAACAACGGTGATTGAACAGACAAGCCAAAGTGAATGCAGAGTCAAAGATGCCAAGCCTGTTGATGGATCCCTTTCTTCTATTTCCCCCTGCCCCCTCCCCTAAAAGGCAGAAGGTTTGTTCAGTTTTAAGAAAGATAGTGCATATAATCAATTGATTCACTGAAACTTGTCTTTCTGACCTAGTTTGACCACAAAGTTGAACTGTAGTAGGTCAGTGGTCCAGAGGGGATTAAATGTCGTATTATTTCTCCTTTCCCCCTCTGGATTTGATCATTAAAATCAAACGTGACATTTTCTTTCTTTCTTTCTTTCTTTCTTTCTTTCTTTCTTTCTTTCTTTCTTTCTTTCTTTCCTTCCTTCCTTCTCTTTCTCTCTTCTTTTTGAATGCTTCCTGCAGTAACACTCAGATACTTTTCCTTGAGTCAAATGAGAAATATTTTTCTAGAATGCACCACATTTAGCTTATGTGACACGTAGGTTAAGATTTTATCCCCCCCCCGCCACTGCCTCCCCCTACCCCCAGTAGGATATGGCAATGACCATTTCCATGTGCTGTCTTGTGACTGGAAGGAAAACGTAAGGCATGATTAATGAAGCAAGAGCAAGCGGAAGGGGATTTGTCGTCTTCGGAGATCCAAAGCCTTTCTAAATCACCAAATATGGAGTAACACTTGCGTGATGTAACATCGTATTTACATATCGAGCTGCTCGTTTAAAAGACAAAACACAGTGTCTGTCAAGCAGGAATTAAAACCACACTTCTTACTGAGGTCCCAAATAGGTTATTCACTCTCAGATTAACCAGCTCCAAAATTCTGTGCTTCTGTACTTAGAAGAGGAATCTAAAAGCTGGGGGTGGGGGGGTTGGGGAGGTGGGGGAGGCACTATAGTGAAAGCTTTTTACTGTGATGGTTGTGAATCTCCATAAGGAAAGAAAAGATATTTTCCTTAACTTCTGGTTGTCATAAAGGTGGTTTTTTTTTTTCCTTAGGACCTTGTACAATAGCAGAGCCTAGGGAAGCACCCCGCCCTGCCCAAAACCAAAAACAAAGAAAGGAAAAAGAAAGGAAAGCAAACTTAAAATATGTTTTAGAGTGCTAGTACTAAATAATTTCTCTGAGATGAAAAACAATGTAGGATGCCTAAGATATTCAATGGGTGCAGTAGTGCTGCAACCCAGGTGAGGTAAACTTTTCATGCAGAAAAAATTACAAAGCCTTGATTCCTTTCATTGTATTTAGTCACCTTTTCCCACCCTGGAATTGGCTGGACATAAATAGCGTGGTCACATCTCAAAGCGAGATGTCAGTAACTGGAATCACGACTTCTCATAATTCACAGTAATGAATTAAGAGTTTCCTATGGTGAAATTAACATTCTAGCATTGCACATAAATTAAGATGCCCTGGCCTTCAGGTGCCTCTGAAGGGAAGTTCTGGAAGACGGCTGTGCACTACTAGCCCATTTCTCTCAGGCATGTCTTCACGATTCCAAGTCTGCTTTTCTTTTTATGGTGAGGAAGGAAACAATAAGGGTAATCATTCAGGAGATATTTGAATTGTGTCACAAAAAGAAAGGAGAAGCGATGCTCCATATTAGGAGAGAGATCTATTGATGAATCTCTAGAAGAATATGTTTGGCAACCACATAAAAGGTAGTCATTTAAGTGCGCTGTGTAGGAAAGGTTTTATTAAAGTGATGTAAGTTGGATTTGAGCTCACTGTGTGCTCTGTGCCATTTTATAGGCAGGAAGCAGGAATAAAACAGTGACAGATTTTCCTGAGATAAATAAAGCTTAGAATTTGGGGCTTTCAGATAGGAGAATAAGGTAGAGTTCTTTAAATCCTTAGTAAAGTGATAATGCATTTTGACGGCACATAGGCCTCTCCAAGAGGAGTGTTTTTTAGAAAGGATGATTTTTACCTGGCAAATAGAGGAGTCTGTGCTCCAGCACTTCACCCATGTACGTGTGTTAACTGCACACATCTACATTAATCAGGTTGCTTTTTCATTTTATTCAAATATTCAAAATGTTGTGTGGCTGTGATCCATTGAGACGGTTGAAATAGTATTAATTTAACTGGAAACGAGCAGGTTATATTGTGTGGGGCCCAGTTCATGTATTTGTGTGTCAGATATTCACCAGGAGGTATTAGCAGCCTGTGACTGGCAGTCAGAGCTTTTAATAGGGGTGTTGTTTTATTTTCTAGTCTCATATTTTATGATGGGGAAATATTCATCAAAGACTAGTGAATGTGAAACTGCTGTTCACTTATAGGAAAGGCCAAAAATACTATCCCACAGTGTCAGATTTGAGGTTTTGGCTTATTATACACAGAAAGCGTCAAATTAGGATTGGGCTGTCATGAAGTTCACTTTTTAAGAGAATGGGAAAAAAAGATGACCAGTGCTATAAAATGTAGTAAAATCTGCTACTATTGATAAACATTAGGATTTTTTTTCTCCTTAAAATCCTGAATAGAGGCCTTTATATCGGGATATTTAAAAATTGTTTGCTTAGGCAATAATATACTTTATCACTAGATAAAAATATGTGGGACAGTTACTCTAATGGAGGGAGAAATCCTCATTCAAAACAGAAATACATCAGCATGTTACTTAAAGGTAAATCAAGTATGACATACCTATGCTTTTCAGAATTCAGAAAATCAACTTGCCTTTTTCTTTTGTACCCATACTAGTTCTTTTGCAAGCTCAGACTGAATTTGGGATGTGTTTGTCTACTTCATGGCGTAATTGTAAATGAGACTATAAATTATAGTATCCTAGTATGACTACTTATTTTTAATTTCTCTTTGTGTGATTCTGAATAAAAACCACTGACTTCTGAAGTGAATTTTTAGCATGGCAGCTAAAACAGAAAACAACAAACCAAAAACCCCCCAAAATACTGGTGAACATTTTACTTACCTTCCGAGTCCAGAGAATAGAGAATATGGTTTCTTTATATATATCTAGGATTTTCATTGGGAGCCTGTGTTTGTGAGGCCACTACCCAAGGACTCATGTTCCTGAGTCTGGGAGTCCCATATACAAGCTGTATTTGTAAATACGACCGAGAAAGGTTGTGAACTGGCAGCTTGGATGTTTTGTCAAAGTACAATGTCAGAGAAACTCTCTCTAAGACAAATTGTAAATAGAACTGTCACAGTGATTGCATGATTGAGCCACAGAAGTGTCTTACAATTGTTGGCATTGTCAGAGGACTTTTGAAAGCTTAATTAAACACAGTGGCCCGCATGGCTGCTAAATTTACTTCGGAAGGCCAAAAAGGAAAAAAAAAAAATCTAAAATGTGGAAGATCCCAAAGATCCCAAAGTTCTTCAGATGTTACCCTTTCCGTGACACAGAAAAGAGGCATTGTGCATTTTCCTAGTTGTCTTTTATAAATAATAGTTTTGAGAATAGGGCCACGTGATATGAAGATCATCCTGTGTGTGATGTAGAGATTGTGTTAGTTTTTCTGTCTCCTGCTGTTACAGACAGTTAATGTAAAAATGGCCTTTTATTGGAAACACAAATATGTATTCACTTCAAGAACAGGAGCAGAGGGGGAAAGTTTCCCTCCCCATTCTCTGTGTTCATTCTGTGAAAGCTTAAAAAAACAGTGCTGTGATTTCTTAAATCACCCCATTCCCTGTGTTGCAAGTTGTGCCTTTTACTTTAAAGGGTCTGAAATCTGTTTTGCACACCTTTCTCCTAGTGAATGTGGCATTTAATTGTGGAGCTGCCCATGGGCTGGAAAATGCAACTGGGTGTAGAAACGTGCAGGCAATGTCAGGACAGCGAACCTTAAGCTCACGGAAGAGGAGAGTTGGATGCATATTAATGGCACATTTTCGAGTCCTGGAAAATCATTA